CTAGATGTGGAGATGAGCAGATATGACCTCTTCTGCAGTTTGTACAACTCTGCCAGAGACTGTGGGCTCATGCAGCCCACACAGGGGTGCCCCTTCAGCAGAAGGTTTAGGTCACTGGAAAGGCTATATTTCTGGACACCCTAGGTCTAAAACAATTAAAGAAACAGCTCAAGAGACAATCAAGAACTAAGGTACAGTTAAACAATAAGAGGCATCTCCTACAGAGCCAACACTTCAAGACACAGAGAGGTAGCTGCTTCACATAGCACAGGGAAACAAATGCAGAAAGTCAAGCAAACTGAGGAAACAAAGGAATGTGTTCCAGATAAAGAAACTAGATAACCCTCCCCCCCCCCCCAAAAAAAAAGAAACTTAATGAAATAGAAATAAGTAATTCGGCTGATAAAGTTTCAAAGTAATGGTCATAAATCTTGCTTACGAAACTCAGGATAAGAATGAATAAACACACTGAAAATTTTAGCAAAATACAGTGTAGTAGAAATCACCCAAATAGAAGAGCAAAGAGGTGGGCTCCTTGACATCAGTCTAAGCAATATTTTTGGGTCCAACTTGAAAGGCAAGGGCAAAAGGAAAAAATAAACAAATAGGACTACATCAAACTAAAAAGCTTCTGCACACTGAAGAAAACTATCAACAAAATAAAAAGGCTGCCTACTCGATGAGAGAAGTTATTTGCAAATCATACATCTGATAAGAAGTTAACATCCAAAATACATAAAGAACTCATACAATTCAATAAAAAAAATTTTTTAAAGACTCGAATAAACATTTTTCCAAAGAAGACATAAGAGGTAGCAAACAGGCATGTGAAAAAATGCTCAACATCGCTAATCAAAACCATTATGAAATATTACCTCACACCTGTCAGAATGGCTATTATCAAAAATAAAAATAAAAAGCCTGGCCGGTGTGGCTCAGTTGGTTGTGCGTCGTCCCATGCACCAAGAAGTCACTGGTTCGATTTCCAGAAAGGGCAAATGACCAGGTTGTAGGCTCGATCCCTGATTCCCTGTAGGGGGCATGCAAGAGGTAGCCAATCAATGTTTCTTTCTCAACAATGTTTCAATCTCTCTCTCTCCCTCTCTCTCCCTTCTTTCTCTAAAATTAATTTTAAAAATTAAAAAAAGAAAGAAAGAAAGAACAAATTTTGATGAGAATATAGAAAAAATGAAAACAAAACCCTCATGCATTGTTGGTAGAAATGTAAATTGGTGCAGCCACTATTGAAAAACAGTAGGGAGGTTCTTCAAAAAAATAAAAATATAAAACTACCATACTATCTAGCATTTCTATTTCTGGTCATACATCCAAAGAAAACAAAAAACACTGATTTGGAAAGATATGCGCTTCTATATTCATTGCAGTAATTTTTACAATAGCCAAGATATGTAAGAAACCAAAATGAATATTGATAGATGAATGCATAAAGAATATGTGATACACACACACACACACACACACACACACACACACACACACAATGGGACATTACTCAGTCATAAAAAAAGAAAACTTGCCATTTGTGACAACATGGATTGAACCTGAGGGTATTATTTTACATGAAATAGGTCAGAAAGAAAAAGCCAAATACTGTATGATTTCACTTATATGTAGAAACTAAAAACAAAACAACAAAACAAAAGAAAAATTGACTCATGGACATAGGGGAGAGACTGATGGTTTCCAGGAGAGACAGGGGTTGGAAAGTGTGGGAAATAGTTGAAGGAGATCAAAAGGTACAAATTCCCAGTTATAAGATAAACAAGTCATGAAGATATAATGTACAGCACAGGTAACATAGACAATAATATTATATCAACTTTGTATGATAACTAGATTTACTGTGGTGATTATTTTGAAATGTATATAAATGCCAAATCACTATGTTTCAACCTGAAACTAATATATTTGTCAATCCTACCTCAATTTAAAAAACTCAGTTTCATTATATAAAACTTTCATGTACTCACAACTGAAAGCCTACTTTTGCCCTACCCTGCATAAAATCAAATCATTCTAATATAAATTCACAGTATTAAAAATGTTATAAAGGAAAGTTACTATGCATTCAGGAAGGTATCCAAGTTTAGTATAAATCTGAAGAATTTTTACAACTTTAAATTGCTTGCATTTATTAATAAAACACTTGAAGCCTTCTTTGTAATTCTGCTCTCATTTCTCTCAATCTCCTGAGAGCTGTCAGGTGCATCCTTGGAAACGTCGTTGCTTTTGTTTTCACCAGTTCACATACTACTGACATTTCCCTATTGCTTGTCAAAATAATTAATATCTGGAGTGGAAGAAATAGGTAGACTGCATTTTAATATAAACTTTTTGAGAGAAACCTGGTTAAAGAAATAGTCCACTAAAAGTCAGCTTTCTGTCTTTGACCTTTGGTGCTTTGCAAAAATATTTCTGACCTGCTTTAAAAATCTTGGACATGGGCCGGGCTGGTGTGGCTCAGTGGACTGAGTGTGGTCTCACTGACTGAGAGGTCCTGATTTGATTCCCAGGCAGGGCACATGCCCGGGTTGTGGGCTTAATCCCCAGTGGGGGGCGTGCAGGAGGCAGCTGATCGATGTTTTTCTCTCACATCAATGTTTCTATCCCTCTCTCCCTTCCTCTTTCTCTAAAAATAAAAAATTAATAAAAACATATTTTTTAAAAAATTCAATTCTTAAAAAATAAAATCATGGATACAGCTGTCACCTCAGTAGAGTTAAAAAGAAAAAGAGCCCATTTTCAAGAGAATATCTTGCCAAAGTTTTCAAAAAGTTTGGATAGTAATCAATTTAGGGTCCACTTCTCAGTCAATGAAAATAAATATAACAAATATATTCTATGGGATAAGGCTGAATGCTTATGAGAACTTGAAGAGCCTATCACTTTGAATATATAGTTGTTGCCTGTTTATCAGTAAACATATGTAAACCAATTACATAGTCTTGCCAGCTATGTGGTAAGCTATTGACCACATCACTGCCTGACCATGGAGTAAAAAACCTTGATAAATTAGCAGATGGAATTCTTTTCAGAATCCACTATAAACATGATGACTCACTTTCCTAGGGTAGGACAACTACCTGGCATCTTGCACCCTGCCCTACAGATGCTGAGCACATTTAGCATTGCATCATCCTCTATATACAATGGCTGGAGTTTGAGGGCCCTAGTGCCTTTGATTTTAATCTATGGCAATGATTTTCAAAATTTATTACTAAAATTCTGCGGCATACCAGAAAAATATAAATTTTGCCTATCTGACAAATAAAATAGGTATAATTTTGATTCATTCACACCAGATGGGCTATTGTTGTGTTGGCTGTTATCATTTTTTTATTTGACATTCTAAGGGAAAAGAGGTCAGTGTTCCTGACTAAATAGTCATGTATTACATGTTTTAAAATTCTTGCAACACACCGGTTGAAAATCACTGGTTTTATGGCTATAAATCTTTGTCCTTTTGTATAAAGTCACTCTCTGGAGTTACTTAAATCAACACACAGAGCACACAGTCCCATAAAGTGGACAAATGTAATATATTATTCCAAAAACCAGACATCAAAAGTACTAATGAAATCACAAATATTTTGAAGAAAATATCATTTTTCCCAATATATTTATTACACTTTTATTTAAAAATTCAATTTTTTTACAAATTGCAAGTAATTAAATAATTGAAAATGTAGCACAAAATCACACAGGTTCTTAAAGCATTTCACAACAAATACTTTTCTCCATTGGAAGACCAAATGACATACGGACAAAACACATGTGATGGCTTTAAAAGGCTCCAAATTGTATGCAGTCTATAGACTTTTGCTTCAGAATCTCAAACAACCAAAAAAAAAATGCATTTTAAAAACCATTAAGGTTTCCAAAATCCTTAAAAATAATCAATGTACTCTTTAAAAAAAAAAAAGAGGTAATTATTAGAGTTAAAAATTAAATTTTATGTCTAAGAAAGTGTTTGGCACAGAGCAAAATCAATATTATCATTCCTTATCCCCCTCTTACCAAAAAAAAAGAAAATGTGATCAAAATTTGTTATACACAAGCATAGAGACTTTTCAGAGATGCTAAAATCTCCTCTTCAAACAGCAGTTTTTGTATCCAGGATTTTTATTTTATTTTTACTTATAACTGTTCTTTAAAATTCTTAACTGATATTATAAATGGGAATTAATATTATAAAAGACAATTGAATTAAAGCAGACAGTTTTATATGCTTTCATGAAAGTTTAAGGTAAACCAATGTAGAATTCAAATTACTTTTCTTTTTGAACTATTTAATTTGAAATTGCTGCACAATATCTCAAATAATAAACTTTTTCCAGTTGCTTGTTGATGCCTAAAAATCCTTTTAACAGAAGAAAAATCTTTTATTCCACAATTATAAATTAGGCTTAAATATGCAAATGTAATTTGAAAAGAGTAGTAATTTAACTTTAACTCGCCTCAAAGTTAAAGAGACTGATTTGTGAGTCCCTCTGCAACTTGGTATTTGGAGGAAGAAGAGAAGTTTAAAGGGTGCTAGAATCCCACTTCTGGGACTATATCCTAAAAATCCCGAAACACTAATTCAAAAGAACACATGCACCCCTATGTTCACTACAGTGTTATTTACAATACTAAAGTTCTGGAAACAGCCCAAGTTCCCATCAGTAGATGAGTGGATTAAAAAGTTGGGGTACATATATACAATGAAATACTCTGTGGCCATTAAAAGATGGAAATCTTACCTTTTGTGACAGGGTAGATGGACCTGGAGATTATTATGCTAGGAGAAATAAGGCAGTCAGAGAAAGATAAATGCCATATGATCTCAGTTATATATGGAATTTAATGAACAAAATAAACTGATGAACAAAATAGAAACAGAGGCATGGATACATGACAGACTGACAGCTATCAGAGGGGAGATGAGAGTGGAAACTGGATGAAAGAGGGTGAAGGGATCAGCCAAAAAACATATTTACCTAGCATTCAGACTCAGTCACCAAGAGTGGTGATCGCCAGAGGAAGAGGGTGGGGTCTAAGTGGATGTGGGCAAAGGGTGGAGGAAATGGAGACAGAAGATATTGCTTGGGGTGATCACACGCATGCAGCATACAGATGATGTTTAATTGAGTTGTATACAGAGATCTGTATGGTTTGTTTGTTGGTTTGTTTGTTTTGTTAACCCTCACCTAAGGATATTTTTCCATTGATTTTTAAATAGAGTGGAAGGGTGTGGCGGGAGAGAGAAACACATCGTGTAAGAGAGACACATTGATCAGCTGCCTACTGCAGGACCTCAACTGGGAATCGGACCTGCAACCCAGGTACATGCCCTTGACCGGGAATCTAACCCAAGACCCTTCAGTCTGAGGGCCAGTGCTCTAACCACTGAGCCAAATCCGCCAGGGCCAAACCTGTATGGTTTTGCAAACCAATGTCAATTCAATAAATTCAATGAAAAAAATAAATAAAAGTAAAAGTAAAAAAGAGTGCTATGGGGTAAGGAGAGTCCAAGTTGTGGGGTAAGGAGAGTCCAAGTTGAGGAGCTGAAGGGGAAATAAGTTCTCAAGGGCAAACTTTGCTTTTTACCAACAAAGACACCTCTTCTGCCCTTCCATTTACCCGTTTCTTTCCCTCTGTCTGATATCACACACTTGTTTCCTTGTGAGGCTGACAGGGTGACAGCTGTGTGCATGTTTCCAGGATTGTGAAAGTCAAGAGGAACACAGACATTTCTCCAAACATTCTCCTCAGGGGTTCTGTATTACGGAGCTGGCCTAAGGGCGGAACCATTGTGATTTCCACTGTGTTGTTTTCCTAGCCCTAAAATGATAGAAAATGATTCCTCCCCCCTTTTTTTAAAAAAAAGAAGTCTTGCTACTATGGTATCATGTTAACATCTATCTAGTCTTAATGTATACAAGTCATGAAAAACTGAATCCGTGGATATTTTCCAGGGTTATAGTATAAATTTTTTTAACTTAAAAGTCAGTTGCTTTATAAAACCCTCATTCACTCCCTTCCCTTATTAAATTAAGACAGAAAACATTAAGTCTATTTCTGTATTTACAAGACACGGTCACTATTTTATTTCCTCTTTGAATTCTCTTGCCCTACTAACCTTCTTGAGGTTTGCTGAAGGTCAGCCTTTGTGAATATTTGCTTCTATTGATTAGAATCCAATAACCAGTGGGTGGTACAGTTGAGTGAAGTGCAGAAAATTGCAGGGCAGACACATAAGAAAGAGATGTAAGGTACAATGGATTTGTGGAACAGCATGGGCCTGTGTAATTTAACATGACCTTTTTGGTTTTCTGTGTGGAAGTGTACTATTCATTGGCAATTAGGGGAATTTAATATGAACTCTGTGAGGTTTATTGAGTCTGAAGTTTTATAGAAAATGTCTTGGCCTGATTGCCTAGGAGCTACAAAGTTTGCTATCAAGAGGTAGTTAGAATTCTGTTCCTATAAAAAGTATCTAGAACCTAATCCCCTTCTCCTTTACTTTTTCTGCTCTTTTCCCCACTTCTAACACTAATACCATGGGAAAAGCCCACTTAAGACACAATTTTCTGAAGATTAAAACTCCTTCAAGGGCATCTTAGTATTTAACATTTATAATGAGAGAGTTCTTCCCTTTTGGTGCAATAAAGATGTAGCTAAAAATAACTGATGTCAAAGGCTGTTTTAAAGAGAAAAAGAATACATATACCTTCCTTTTTTTAAATTTTCTATGAAGGTGGGTCATATATCTTGTTCATTTATGCTTATAGGATAAAATTATTTATTATGGATCAAAATTTACCTTACCAACTATAAATAAACGTTGATTGCTTTTTGGGGTTCTCTCTCTGTGAATGACCATATTTCATTTGGCTAATGTCAATAGTCTTGCTTTAGTTATTTTTCCTATATATATTCTCAAGCTCTTTGGTGCTATTAACCCTTGACTTTGGAGGAAAATATGTTAGCATTTGAACTATGGGTATGCTCAAGTATTAATTGCAATTATTTTTTAATATATATGCATGCATATACATGTATATAGTTAAAAAAAATAAATCAGTATTCCCTAAAGACAAATTATTTCTTTCTAAAAAGTGTAAGATTAGGTAGACAGAGTAACTCAGAGAAGAAGGCATCTGACCACATTTATCACAAATGTCTTTTTTTAATTGTGCAATTGGAAAAAGTACAAGGCAGTACTGAACCATTCAAAGAAATGCTGTGTTTAATGAATTAAGAAGCTTTGAAAAATGGGAAATCATATTTCCTTTTATTGATGCTTTTGGAGTTGAACCCAGGAGAACTACAGTTGTTATATAAATCATGTTGGAAATGAAATTCTGTAAAATAAATTAATTTTTAAAAATGCTCAAATAATATTATATATTGACAGTATGAGGTGTATATGCTAAAGAATTAGATAGCATCCTCCAGCAATAAGTTAAATAAACATTTGAATTATATATCAGGATTCCATTAATGCTAACTGATCCTTATTTCAATAGTTGAAAATTTTCTATTTTTATTTCTAATATTAAACAGAAGAGAAGTAAAACACTTGGAATCCCAGTGTTTTGTTTTGTTTTAGTTTAACCTTGCCATTAAGAAATTAGAAACGAACTAGAATTTTGGAGCTAGAAAAAGTATAAAAACTTTTTGCCCAGCAGAAATAAAAATTTTCTGTCTCAAGGTCAAATTAATATAATCTTTAAAACTGTCACACTAGTTACAATTTGCATGTTGACATTAAAATGAAAAATATAACCTTGAGTTAGAAAATTCCAGTAAAAATTTTATAGATTTTCTAAACTGTCTGAGTTTCTACCAATTTTTTAATCAATTTAAGTAAATCAAAAGGCAAATATGTTCTTAATATAGATTAAGAACATATAAATTATAGATTAGGTCTACTTTAATGTTTCTGATTTGACTTGTCATGTTGATCAAATAATAGTAGCTATTTGTTAAAGATAGTGAACAACACAGTGTCTCAGCAGCTACAGGCTGATAAAGCCACAGATTATTTCTTTTGTTTCCTAAGGGGGTCTGATGTGGAAACAGTAATTCCTTATTTGCCTACCCAGATAGCTGTGCCTCAACAGTTATGCTCACTGTCATAGAGCAACATTTTTCCTCCCGCACTTGCAATAAGTTTTCAATAATGATAATATTGAGTTCAGTGGAAAGAGCACCGGCCTTGGAATCACAGGGCCTGAGCTTCAGGTTCCTCATTAAATAGTTCAGAGCTTTTAGGCAAATAACAACGACTCCTGACCACACTTTCATTAAGTCAGTAATTGATATGAAAGGAAATTAGGAGTTGTCCATACATAAGTAAATAAGCACATAAACACTGAATCTAAATTGAGAAGTATTAAACAATGAAACTATATAGATGTTTAATTATTACTTGGAGTAGCAGAAATTTTTATTCTCTTAAAAAGCTTAAAATAAATAATATATGAAAGAGTCAAATAAATGGTACCTTTTGTTGTTGTTTATCAGATATATGATCTTTTGAAGAGTGAAGTCAACAGGTACTAACTGTCTATTAGATGTCAGATACTTACGTTGTTCGGGCTGTTGATGTTAAAAATATAAAGTAGGCTGAAAGGGAAAAGGAACCAGTCTTTTTACTGAGTATCTAGTGTGAGCCTAGCTCTATGTTAAGTTCTCTAAGTTCATCTCATTAATGAGTTCATCAAAGGACTGTGAGGCAGGACTGTCTCTTTAGATCCATAGGTCAGAGTTCACATAGTCCCGAGGAACTAAAATGGCTTTGACTGATTATACATACTGACAGTTGCAATAATTTAAATGCTTTGGGTCCTTTGTTTTAAAAATTCAATTTTATAAGTAACTTTTTATCAATGTACATAAAGTATATTGCCAGGTTAATTACATTATTAACATTGTATTCGTTGTATCTGACCCTTGGGCATAAAACCAATGCATTGTGGACATGAAAGACTTAAGAAATAACCAGTAAAGCTGTTGCATAGGTAGTTATATGTGAAGCAGGGAGGAGGCTTGGGTGGCTGCAGGAATACCTTCTAATTACTTTGGTGTAGTGAAGGAGCATGTAGTAACTATATTTTCTTATTTTCTACAAGCCTGATGCTCTGGCACCTGGGGCCTTGCTAACCAAGGAGAGACTGCCCTTCTCACGGCTGTCGAATTTTTACAGATAGCAAACAATTTGACAGAAGTGTGTTTTTTATTTGAAAATCAGCCAGTCCAGAGTCCATAACTCCCACTATTTCCTTTACCTAACTTTCACCCAAAGACATTATTGCCCCTGCCCTAAATCACCCCAAGACCAGAAAACTGCCAAAATTATTCAAACTACCTAATCCTATTCAAGCTGCTCAGCTGCTTGCCCTACCTCACCCATTCCTTCCCACAAAAAACACAATAATGTTCTGACTCATGCTGTCCCCTCAACTCTTTCTGCCTCCTTGATCAACCCTGGTGCTTCCTCGAGTGGCCCTTCATGGCCCTGGCATTTCCCTTCCATCTTTATATGGAAATCTCCTGATTGTTGGTTGTACCAAGCCTGAATAAAAACAAAATTCCAAGTACATTTTAAAACAGAGCAATATTCAGATCACAATTAGTCCTGGAGATGCTCTCTTCTAGCAAAAGGTCAAGGATTAGAGTAGAAACAAAACCTTACCATTCTTCCACTATAGTAACTTGCAACAGGAAACAGCTCAAGACTGGCCAAGAGGTCACAGCGAAGTTCCGAGGAGCCAAAGAAACCAAAGAACCAGTTTTAAAGATCTTTGAAAGAATATTGGGAACTTCCATATCTTTTTATGCAGTTGAGATTGATGCTATCTATAATTATAGAAATATAGATGATAAAAGCTGTGTACTTAGGTCTTGTATGTAAATATGAATATTTATACAAGAAAACTGAGAATTAGCTGTAATTTGCACAAAAGCCCCGGTGTAGTAAGGCAATACTCAGATTCAGAACTGAGAAGTGAATCACCAGAGA